GTGTGTGTGTGTGTGTGTGTGTGTGTGTGTGTGTGTGTGTCTATTTCAGGATGGGAAACATTAGCTGTGGTCATTTTATTTTTCCACAGCAAAGTAAACACAACTTATCAAAGTAAATGTGTTTCTAACAATCAATAGAAAAGAATAGAAAGTAGAATCTTTATTGTCACTGGTACAAGAACAATGAGGTGCAGTTGCTACTATAATAAATAATAAATACAGTTTAAAGTGGGAGGGATGTTGGTTCCATTAAAGTATAAATAAACATGCAGTTTATAAATGAAGTGTGACGTGAGTGTTGGCAGTGCAGTTATCCTCCAATCAGGGTGGAGGTAGGGCGTGTCTGACAGCCTGTGGGTAAAAACCTCTGTTGCGTCTGTTTGTCTTCGACCTGATGGAGCTGTAACGTTTACCAGAGGGAAGGAAAAGTGAGTGTGCAGGGTGTGAGGGGTCTTTGATGATGAAGTCTGCCGGTGTAAATGTCTCTGAGGGGGGTTAGTGAGGTGCCTCTGCTGCCCTCACCACGCGCTGCAGTTTCCTCTTGTCCTCCACGGTGCAGCAGTCGAACCTGAGTGTGCAGCAGTAGGTCAGAAGGCTCTCGATGGTGGAGCGGTAGAAGTTCACGAGCAGTCTCTGGGGTCGTTGGGCCTGACGCAGCTTCCTGAGAAAGTACAGCTTTGTTGTGCTTTTCCTACCTTGCAGTGAATAAATGTGAGGAACTGGAATTAGACTTACCCGCACCCCCACTCGTTTTCATATCTTAGTGAGGACATGTCATTGACATGTTTCCCCTAGCTGCTTACTATAACCATCAAAAATGAATGTTAACCCTAACCATAACCTAACTGTAACCCTGAGACTAAAACGTGAGGATGTGACTGTTGGCCCTCACAAGTATAGTAGCAATATGTGGGCCCCACAGAGATGTCTAAACAGGCACATACACACACACTCTCTTACTGCTGCTAGTTTTATCTCACCGTGACGGAGACGAAGCTCCGTCCTCTCCGTTCCCCGTCTCCCTGTTCAGAGCTTTCCTCTGTTTTATCCTCACGTCTCTCTTTGCTCTTCCTCACTGTGAAGAATAAAATATGTAAGAAGTTTTGAGTCTCAGCTTCATTGTGTTCGATGAGCTCATATGAAGTAAAGTCAGCCGGGTTTTTAGGAGGTTGGTGAGAGAAGCTGCAGTCTTATTTATTTAAAGAGTGTAATTGCAGCACTGGCCGGTGTTATTTCTTCCTTCATGTTCGTGTTTGAACTTGAACATTTGAAGCTGTTTATTGAAATGCAGACAGGAAATGGTGCACCATTGTTAAATAACCCAACAGGTCGTTTTCATTGAAGGGTTTCATTGACTTAAAGCGGTTTTGTGCAGACAGCGCTCCTCTGGATGTGTAAATTGGTCAGCTGCTAAAGCATCAGGATGATTAGATTACATCAGCTGAGCTGTGTTAATCTGGGATTTGTAGCTGGCTTTGATCTCAGAGATCTCACTTTCTCCCTCTCCCCCTCCTTCTTTCACCTCGCCCAGGGTGGCCGGAGGCGAGCTCTTCGACTTCCTGGCAGAGAAGGAGTCCCTGAGCGAGGAGGAGGCCACGCAGTTCCTCAAGCAGATCCTGGATGGAGTCCACTACCTGCACTCCAAGCGGATCGCTCACTTCGACCTCAAGGTACGTCTGCAGCTGAACTGAGTCCACCGTGTGTGTGTGTGTGTGTGCGTGTGTGTGTGTGCTATGTGTGCGTGCGTGCGTGTGTGCCTGTGCTGTGTGTGTGTTGTGCGTGTGTGTGTGTGTGTGTGTGTGTGCGTGGTGTGTGCGTGTGTGTGTGTGTGCTGTACCCACTGATAAAAAAGATCAAATAGAAGCTGTGCGATAGTTCAGTGGCTCACATTAATAACACGCAGGGCTGAGGATGTTGTGCACTCACAATGAAAAAGATCTAAAAACAACGAGTCATTCATGACTCTGAGTCTGTCCGTGTCTCCTACAGCTTGTCCAGGTTTTTCCAGATCTTGGCTCATTGCTGTGTCAGAAAATATATGTATGCTTTAAGATGATTTCCACTTCCTGCCTCTACACTGTGATGCTGTCCAGTGAAACAGAAGGAGATTCGCCAAATATTCAAACATAAAGAGAAAATTGACGATGAAAACGGATCCGTTCATGTTGGGATAAAACGACTGAAACCATCATTAACATTTAATTAACTGTGCACATATAAAAACCAAACTGGAGCCCTGATAAACTTTGCTATGTGAAATATAACGATGTTTAAAATACCTGTGTGAGTTCAGATGATCTCAGAGGACACAAACGTGTCTGAGTGAGCGCGCCTTTCAAATGCACTTCCTACATGCTAACTAACTGGCTGTGTGATGTTCAATAGTTTGATTGTCTCGGTTTTCCAGGGATTCGTCTCATTAACGTCCTTAAACATGAGAACCAAACGTTTGTCACGGTTTTATGAGAACACTTTGGGAGATGACGCTCGTGTTTGTGTCTCAGCGAAACCCTCGGAGTGTCCTGCTCCTGACCGTCAGCTGACTGGAGCGCTGATAACGATACGGTGGCATCTTTCTGACCACTCTGGTTTCTCTCTGTGTCTCCGGGCTCATAGTCATGACTAATCTGTTGTTTAAGGTCTCTGTTGTTACTGGACAGTTTTCCAGAGGGACGAGCAGAGGTCAGGAAGCACTCGGCACAGTGCAGCACATTATGTTTCCTCCCTGCTGGACGAGCTCCAGCGTTTCTGGCTGTGAGTGTTCTTTGTTTGTGTCTCGTCATTATCATTGATCAGTTTTCCACTTGCGCGGCGTCCTGGTGTCCTCGTACATCACAGTTTGGGACACGCTGGCCTCAGGCCTGCAGATAATGATAACCTCTGAGCTCAGCCGCTCGTGATCAATGCCGGAGCTTTTACCGAGCACCGCAGCCTCCGCTCCGCGCATTAGCCGCCGGTATTCACTGCTCAGCTTCAGACTTCATTTAATATACTTTACTTACTGATCCCACTAAAGTCAGGCGTCTTTTATATTTCCACCCGTGTTCTGGTCATATGACGCTTCATAAGATGTTTTGTGAGTTTTAGTTGGAGGCTGTTTACGCTGCTTTTATAAGGAAATGCAAAAGTTTTCTTTTCCAATCAGCTGTTAGAGACCGTAACGTGACCTGTGAACTCGGTGCGTATAATCATTCAGCCCATAATCGTTTAGAGTCACCTGCGCTTTTACTGGAAAGTATATGAAATGAAAACTCGGCTCTATCTCTGTTTACCGATCGTGTCTGTGTTTGCGTTCGCCGCCTTGTCGCAGTTTCCACTTTGCTCCTGGTTTAAGGTGTCCACACGATGCAGACCTGCAACAGCTTGTAACCCACATTGGATCATCTTCCTTCACTCCAGCATCAACATGAGCATAAACAGCGCTGCTGGTGGAGCAGAGAACAGAGCGGGCGAGCTGTTGTCAGCGCTGCCCACAGCCAATCTGTTCCTCCCCGCACTGAATCCCAGGCTCGTAATCGTGCTGAAAGGACGAGACCTGAAGGGAACGCGGACTCGTCTAAAGCTCGTCTTTGGCTTTCTATCCTTTCTCCCACTTCCTCGAGAGGTTTCCACTCATGATTTGCATGGGATTTCCATCCCTGATGAGCCTGCTTCCTGCCAGACTCTTCCTGTGTGCTCCTGCCTCCTCCTCTATTTGCACACACAGGACACGCTGTGTTTCCTGCACACGTCTGCTCTGTTTCTGGACGTCTGAGCTGTTTTTCTTTGAAATCATGGCGGGCAGATGGACGTGCTTTATGGAAATGTCACCTCCTCCTCTGTCTAATCGCTTCAGTTTGATTTTTACAGTCGATTCATAACAGTTCCCTGAAAGGTGGATATTAGAGAGACGATCAGGTGTCAGCAGCACTGTCTGACAACCAGCCTGCTGCAGAGGAAGCGCAGAGAGAAAACCTGAACTGTGTGAGAGATAAAGGTTGATGACATGCAGCTGTTGAATGTAAACATGTGGAGTGAAAGGAGGAGAAGTGTTGTGTGCATCATGGAAAATCACAGGAAGTCCAGAGCTGCACATGTTGGCTCAACAAAGACAGTTTGAAGCCTGATCTGAAAGTAGAGCTGAGTCCATAAGAGCGCCCCTGACAGCTGAAGGCTCCGCCTCCCATTTACTGTTAAATACTCATAGCGTCTGTTTGGATAACAGGTAGTCTTTAAGATGAGACAGGCCTGATTATTCAGGAATTATTAGATTATAAATGATGATAATTATAAGTCCAGTTCCCGTCTGGTTCGGCTGATGAATCCTGTTTTCTTTGCTCCTCTGCAGCCGGAGAACATCATGCTGCTGAACCGCTCAGTGCCTCACCCGCGCATCAAGATCATCGACTTCGGACTCGCCCACAAGATCGATTTTGGCAACGACTTTAAAAACATCTTTGGAACTCCAGAGTTTGTAGGTCAGTGTCCCACAGCTGTGCACACGGGGCTTTGTGTTTCTGACACTGCTCTGTTTCCCACCATGAACACACACACACACACACACACACACACACACACACTGCACCACCCTGTTCTCCTGGCTTCATCCCAGAGGTTGCATATTGTGAGACTGGGCGCCAAATGTACCGGAGGGACCGAGAGAGAGACCTGATAATAGGCCGGAGATTATCAGAACTGGCCCCTGCTGCCTGCACACACACACACACACACACACATTCTTGTTTTGATATTTTAGTGAGGACATCTCATTGCCACTTACCCTAACCATCAAAAATGAATGCCTAACAGTAACTAAGTAACTATAACCTAATTGTAACCCTGACACTAAAACCACATTTTGAGTCTCACACTCGTGGGGACGGGCACTTTGTCCTCATAAGTGACTGTTGGTCCCCACAAAGATGTCTAAACCAGTACACACACGCTCGCAGAGACACCAGTGCCATCTGCCCTCATCTACTCTTCTCTGGGGCAGCAGCCAACCCTCCGCCTGGTGCCAGTGCCCACTACCAGCAAGATCCAGGCCAAGGCCAGAGCACGCTCCCGCTGCAGCGGGGTGTCAGCGGGCAAATGGTGTAAATAAAGATCAGGTGGAAGAAAGCCAAACGATGTGTGGGATAGACGATGCTGGAGAATCGAGTCAGCTGCAAAACATAAACATTCATGCTTTCCATAGAATAACATGTTCTTTATTTGTTCTCAGCGCTGAAAACCTAAAGTGTTGAAGCAGCAAATAAGAATAAAAGCTCAATATAATAAAATAAGTTTCAAGTTGTTGTTAGTTGGTATTTTAAGCCATTTTAAAATTTCAGTAAAGTCTGAGGCAGAAAAACTGAATCAAAAGTTAAAAGTCAAAGTAAAGTTTAAAAGCTTTTCCCTCCACGGCTGCTCTCGCTGCTCCTGCAGGCTGTTTGTTTAAAATCCAGGATTCTTCAATCCTGCTCGTCTCTGCTCGTCTCGTCTCCGGTATGAAGCGAGCAGATGAAATGGCAGATGTAAATGTAAATGCCAAGAATAATAATGGATTGCATTTATATAGCGCTTTCAAGGCACCCAAAAGAGCTTTACAATTCATTCACACACTGATGGAGGCAGCTACGGTTGTAGCCACAGCTGGTAAAGTGTTTTGCCCAAGGACACAACGACCAGGACAGAGAGAGCAGGGGGATCGAACCAGCGACCTTCTGGTTACAGATGTGCTTCCCAACCCCCTGAGCCACGGTCTTGCTTTTGCAGTTTGCATTTGCAGTTTCAGTTTTTGCTCTGCCTCGGGAACGCAGCGCTCGGCCGCTGCAGGGCGAGCTGGAAAAGGTGAGTGTGTGATACTGACGGCGGCGTGCTGGGGCTGTAAAAGCAACAGGAAGTTAGTTGTTGTAGTTCGCCCTGCTGTTCTGGCTCGTTTACCAACACAGTCGGCTGTTAGAGGCGAGGCCCTGATGCACGGCTCATGGAGGAAATTAAGGTAGTTTAGATCCTTTAACACATGATTGCTGCAATTTGCATCGAGTTGTTCTCCGTCTCTGCGTCGCAGCTCAGTCACAGCTCCACACAGAGACGTAATGAAACGTACGCTAACACAGCGCTGCACCCAAATGTAAAAACCACACCGATATACAGACACTTCTGCAGGTGGGAAACACTGTTAGCTGATTTATTGTCAATAATAAACTAATAACGGCTGAAAACGTGTTGTTCACAGTCTGGAAGCATTTGATTGGCCCATAAATGGAGTTGCAGGAAAAACGATGACATCATCCCGTTGATTTTTGTGGGTTCTTCTTTCAGATGAAGGATGTTTTGTTTCAGCACGATTAGAAATGAATTCAGTGATTTGTCTTTGATTATTCACACATTTACAGACAAGTGGGGAGAAAAGAAATCGCAGCTTTAGCAGGCGCCACAAAAAAATCACACCTCCGAAGGAACAAACAAATCAGCGAACCTAGCCCAAAGCGATCGTGCGCTCCAGTAAAGCTCAGCAAACTCTGAGAAGAATTAGTGTGGAGAAGAAGTAACGTCTGTGTGCCGACCTGACTGCTAACAATCTGCTGTTTCCTCGCAGCTCCTGAAGTCGTCAACTACGAACCTCTGGGCCTGGAGGCAGACATGTGGTGAGTAAACACGCAGAGCTTCATCCCAGCTGTGCGTCTGCTGTAAAATACATCGAGGATTTTCATGGTGTTTGATGTTCGAGATGTTGAAAAGCTGAACTCTGTTTCTCTCTCCTGCCTCCGCCCAGGAGCGTCGGTGTGATTACCTACATCCTGTGAGTATCTCAACCCCGCAGCAAACCTGCTCTGGCACAAACTGGATGTGAGCGATGGAGCTTTTTGAACCTGCTCAGCTTGTCTGACTGTAATTGGAATAATTACAGGATCAATCGAGCCGTCCGCTCGTTTTTCTATTGCAACCAGAGGAGTCGCCCCCTTTTGGCCATCAGAAAGAATGCAGGCTGACGGCTTTTACACCTGATGGGAAGGGACCAGGTTTTATGTTTCACTTTGCTGTGTTTTCACTCGCTGAGCGTGAGCAGCAGTGTGTTTGCCAAGACGCGGCGATCTCAGCGGCGTCTCTCTGACCTCGGTGGGCGAGTCTACGGTGGCCCTGAGAGCTCAAATGCACTGAAACATCAGAAATTAGCAGCAAAAAAAAATAATTCAAAAGCTCATAAAAGGTGACGGCCCAGCTGCGAAAATCACGAGCTAACAGGAAACAGCTGAGCAAACACGTGTGTCCGCGATTATGAATCATGTGACTAAAACACGCGTTTCCTTCCATCTTTGATCTTTTTGACTCTTCTTTTGTCTTTTGTGCGAAGCCTTTGTTTTTTTTCTTGATGGCGCTTTGTGTCACACCCAAACCAGCAAACACCCGCAGAGCGCTTTAAAGATGGCGTCAGAGAGCTACTGTTGTGACTGTGTTCGTTTTAAATATCAAGCTGCGAGTCGTCGACTGCATGCAGCCCACAGCTGCTGTATTTCCACGGTCAGCGGCTGGTTTTCACCTGAAGAACGTTTTGTTCCAACGTCATCATCAGTTTCTTTGATTCCTTTGTTCTTCGTGGTTTCATTTGAGGAAGAGTTGAGCTCAGTCACCAAACGAAGCCGTCACAGGGTCAGCGACACACTTCCTGTGGGCTCGCCGACTGTCACGCTGTGATGGGACCCGCTCTCATCGCACGTCCAATTATCCACTGACTGAAAAGGTTGTTTAATATAAAACTGATTTATACTAATAAATCCCTGCAGTGTTTGATTATTTTTAAAGAAGTGTCCTTTTTAGGAGGATGTGTGCACCCCGGCACACTGAACAGCCCTGTTATTAAAAGCTTGTTTTTCCTGCTGCGCACTCTGGAACCTAAATGAGCCGAAACTCGTCACGATATTTAAAACACTTTGAACAGATCAGATCTTTGCCTCTGAGCCACAGATGGGATTTTCCCAGTCCTGATAATCTCTGCATGTAACTCGCACGTTAAGCTGTTTTTAATATTTGGAAACTTTTCTTTTATTTGCTCTGATTCTTAAATATTAGCGCTAACGTGCACTGTTGTTTGAGGCTAGTCTGCTTAAGCTAATTGACTCTGGACTTTATCCTGCTCTGCCGAGTCTGCTTTGATCTTATCAGCATGTCGTTGGGTTGATAAAGCAGCTCAGCTCGAAGGATCGCAGTAGTCTGATTAGATCCAACAAATTCTCCTGAGTTCACGTAGTTTGGTCTTTAAAGCAGCTGTTTGTGTGCTCTGTGTTTGTGAAGCAGTCGCCTGCAGACGTGTCAGCACAGTTTAATTCAGCAGCAAAAGTGAAGTTCACGTCCTGGACGACCCGCCGGTCGACTGCTGCCGGCTCTCGATGATCCCGGCGCCTCTCTGTGTACTCGGCTGAAGGCTTCCTGAGCTCCCGCGCACCTTTATCCTTCAAAGTGACACCTACACCAATTTTTCCAAAAAACAAATCGCACATTAGTTGCGTTTGCCTACACAAACATGCGAGCGTGCCAAACAAAACAAGGCAAAAGAGAGCGAGAGAGAGCCAACCTGAAGGTGTCATCAGAATATTCAGTAATAAGCAGCTGCAAACAATACAAGCTTTTCAGTTTGCATGATACACAATCTCAAACAAATGTGTGTGTGCTCACACACGCACGTGGGGTATTGATATCTTGTGGGGACATCTACCCAGTCCCCACAAAGACATGAATACAAACGCACACTCACACATGCATCCCTGTTCGTGGCGTCCGCCCACACAGCTGTCACAGCTCAGCCTGGCAAGGTAGAAAATAGATTGTTCTCAGCTTCTTATCACAGCAGAGCAACAGAGAGGTGCGCTGACTCTTCATCTCTCTAATGGATGTAGTGTGTGTGTGTGTGTGTGTGTGTGTGTGTGTGTGTGTGTGTGTGTGTGTGTGTGTGTGTGTGTGTGTGTGTGTGTGTCGTGTGTGGTGGGTGTGTGTGTTGTTTGGTGGTTGTTTGGTTGTTGTGGTGGGTTGTTTGTGTGTTGTGGTGTTGTCTGAGCGTGACACGATGACCACAGAATCATAAACAGTGCTCTGGGTAATGAAACGCGCTCTTATTTCCTCTTTCATCAGGCCTGGCGTGCCGTGCGCCACACAGCCTGGAATCATATGAGTGAACGCGGCGCCTCTCTGCTCTGCTCACGCCCAGTCTGGCTTTCAGTCTGGTCACAGGGCTTGATTTCGGCCTGGTGCTCAGTGCACGAGTGTTTTGGAGAACCAGGAGGTAAAACGTCACCAGGCGTCCTGACGTCACGCTTCCCTGCCGATTGTATCGCCTGGCCTCGTAACGAGCCGCCGCAATGACTCGTTTGTTGTGAGCAGCTTTATACAGTCGATAAATTCATACATTTCCGCTCAGCCTGAGCTCGACCTGCACCAGCTCCACGCCTCCCCCAGATCACATGTTAATTAGCAGCTGGTGACGGGATGCAGGAGTCGGAGCAGAAGGGGAGGCCGGGTTTGTCGGGAACTGCTGTTCGGTTTAACGGGCTAAAGTCCGGGAGGCCGAGCCCTCGTTAACGTGCACGACTGCTCAGCCCTGCGTGTGCTGCGCCGGGGTCTGTCCATTAAAGCGTGCTCCCCTCAGTGCATCTGCTTTGTGTGTGCGTTCAGTGGAGGTGTGAAGGTGCATTAAATTCCTGCACTCACACCGAGAGCGGTCCAGCTGGTTTCCCTGAGAGTGTTTGATAGCAACGCTTCACTAACGAGTCAGTTATTTGCAGCTCTTTAATCACATTCACTCAGCAAAGCGTTGTACGGTTGTAGTTTGGATTTCAGGGGCTGAAGCTCATCAGCGTTTGGACTAAAATTCCTCTTCCTTTGATTGCACGACAGCTGAGCTGTAGTCAGAGAAGGTTCCACCTGATGTGATGCAGAGCTGGTTTGTTAAAGTCCTCACACAAAGATAAAAACCCGCCAGCCTGCACGTTTCTGACCTCTCCGTTAACCTTTCTCGTCCTGCAGCCTGAGCGGAGCCTCTCCTTTCCTGGGCGACAACAAGCAGGAGACTCTGGCCAACGTGTCGGCGGTGGACTACACCTTCGATGAGGAGTTCTTCAGCAACACCAGCGTGCTGGCCAAAGACTTCATAGCGAGGCTGCTCGTCAAAGATCCAAAGTATGTTCTGTTTCCGTTGTATCTGAGATCACAGCGGCCTTAGAGTCACATCAGAGCAGGAGCTGCTTTAATCACGACAAACGTTTCCATGCACAGCTGCCAGGCTGCAGGGTGACTCCTTCAGACACAAGTCTGCTTTGAGGCCTTCCTGCGTATCCTGACTCGAGGTGTTTGGTTGACGGTGTGATTTCCTCCAGTCAGCTGAACAACAAACGAACACATTTAGTCTTCAGCTCTGAGTCTTGGCTGTAACAGCAGCGTTTAAACGACGCGCTGACTTCTAAATGATCGCTCTCTGATTGGTCTCGTTTAATCGCTTTTAAAACGCTGACAGGAAAATTGAATAGGTGCTTTCTGCAGATATTCCAGCTACGCCTGCCTCCTCGCTCGGCGCCGTGCCTTTTGGCGCTGGCTCCTAAAATTGTTTGGACTGTTCCCTCGTTACAGAGTTGCTGTAGCAACAGCTGAATGGCTGCAGCTGTGCTCGAGGACAGTTACCGCCATCAAGCTCTTTTCTGCTCGTAATTACGCCAGCTCCTTTCAAAACAACGGCGTGAGAACGAGGGGGCTAACAGAGGTGATTAATTGTAGGTGTGAGGATGATTTCATTTGGATAACCTTAAGTCAGAGAGGAGACGGTGAGGGGGGGGCATGCGCTGCTGTAAACAGAGAGACTTTACCAGCTTCGCCTGATGGGGCTTTCAGAGATGACGGGCCGAGAGCTTCGTAATGGAACGGCTTTTAATTGATCTGCATCGAGGTTTGCATTCACTCGGCGGCAGGAAGATAATGAAGAGATGCTGTTATGAAGTCTGCTGGGTTAAAGCTGCACCAGCACAGGCCTGGAAGTCTGGGAACCTGTGTGGTTGGTGTGAATGCAGTCGCCTCGGCTGCAAACGGGGATGTGGTGGCGATCGGGCCGAGCCGAGAGGAAGCGGCGCCTTCGCCAGGTTCCCCAAAATCTATGTAGGACGTACGGAAACCTTTCCTGAACAACGGGCTGTTGTTGGACTGAGGCCGTCCCTGAAGCACATCGAGCTTTACTAAATATTAATCATTAATGTTGGTGCAGCACTCTGTCAGGTTAACTTCTGCTTTGTTTGGATGAAATGTGAGCGTTTTAAAATCTGTCAGACTGTTGTCTGTCTCAGGAAGTAGCACCGAAGTGCATCACGTAGATTTGTTCCCTTTACTCCGACGACCACGCCGAGTTTCTCGGTACCGCCTTTCATGAGACGCCGCGTAGAGAAGTATCGAAAGAGGAAACTGAATATTCCAGGTTAACAAAGAGCAGCTGTTATATTTTTATTGCTCATTAGGTGCAGAGTGACAAAGGTCAGCTGTGTAATATCAGCAAGCGATTATTAAAAGACGCACAGAGACGTGGCCGAGGCTGCAGCCTGACACGGACGCACAGCTCGCACACCTACAGCCAGTTTACACTCACCCGGTGTGGGTGTCTGTGGACTGTGGGAGGAAGTAAACCCACACAGGAAGCCTGGCAGGTTCAAACAGAGGGCAGCAGGTTCAAAGCACACAAAACATTTTACAAATAAAACCAAAAACACATCTATAACCTGTAACTGCCTCAGATTAAAGCAACTAAGATGAAAACAATTAGGAGAAAGTCCTGCTGCTGTCAGGCTTCGTGTCTCCATCCCAACTGTGTGTTTCCTTTGTAAAACAAAATAATCAGCATTAATGCACAAAGAAAAAGACCGAAGCTGAACCGCAGCAGCTGGAACATCTGACGGTGAATCATCGAGTTTCCTTTTCTGTCCACAGAAAGCGAATGACCATCCAGGACAGCCTGCAGCACCCCTGGATCAAGGTGGGACTGATGTCAGCGTTTGGATTTTGTTGTCTGAGCTTTTCTAGCTTTAACATTTATCTCGTTTTGTTTCCTATAATCAGCCAAAGGACACTCAGCAGGCTCTGAGCAGGAAGGAGTCGGCCGTCAACATGGAGAAGTTCAAAAAGTTTGCAGCCAGGAGAAAGTGGAAGGTGAGAGTTTTCCATCTTACTGGTTTCTACGCTCACACTGAAGCTTCAGGAGCAACAAAATACATTTCCCATGATGCACTCTGAAAGCTTCTTGCTACAAAGTCTCCTCATTGGTGCTTCGCTGTCACTGCTGATCGCCGCGGGGTCGCCGCAGCCATCAGATTCACCGCCGGCACTTTACTGCATGTCGGCTTCGGTTCGTCACAGCTGACCCGGCGACGCTCCCGGCCAACACAACGCAGCGGTGTTTGAACCTGCGGCGCTGCTGTCGCCATGTTTCTGTCTTCTGTTTGGTGACTCACAGCAGCTCCTGGCTTTGCAGCAACCTTCATCTTTGAGGATTTATTTATGTTTGATACACAAAAACCTCCAAATCACACAAACATTAAACGCAGCTCAGGCTCATCTCGAAATTCAGAGGGAAGAATAAAAAACTGCAGCGACACAAAGAACACCTGCTTTTAATAAATGAATTCTTATTAATTGGACAAAATCATTTGTGTTTATTGATCATTTGAGGTCATCAGTTCGCTCTCTGGTGATGATGGTTGATATATAATCTGTAACATCGACGTGAAGCTGGAACATTTGCAGAC